TTTTAATTTTCTTAAGAAAAGAAATAATACCTGCTTGGAAGTGTAATATCCTCATTATGAGATACTTGGAAATGTCACAGCAGTACAAAGGACTAAACTCTGCTTTTTTAAAAGGCCTTATGGTTCAGGTAAGGAATGCTGAGTGGGAGAACAAACAGTGATTGTGGCATTATGGGCCCTGAGTTCAAATCCTGGCTCGCCCACAGTCTTGTCCCTTAATTTGTCCAAATCCATTCACTCTTTGAGCTTTAGTTTCTCCTTGTGCAAAATCAAGCCAAGAAAAGCTGAGCTAAAGTGTCTTTAAGGACCTTTCCTACTCTGATGTGAAATAGAATTCCAGTTTAGACGTTCCACCAACTCTTATGTTGCTTGCAAAACAGTTTTGTAGGTAGATGCTCCTTCTTGCCTTCAACAGAGCCAGCCAAATCCTAAAAGAATTCATCCTTAATTTGTAACAACTATGTGTGTATGTTCACTAATTTGTCCACATCCACCCATCCATCCAACAAATGAGTAGCCCACTGTTTATCAGGTGCTGTACAGTCAGATATTATATTGCCAGATACTATTTACTGAGACACAGAATGATCAAGAAAAGATTCTTATAGCCAGGCCCTGGTAGCTTATGCCTGTAATCCTAGCTACTCAGGAGGCTGAGATCTGAGGATTGTGGTTCAAAGCCAGCCCAAACAGGAAAGTCCGTGAGACTCATCTCCAGTAAACCACTCAGAAAACCAGAAGTGGTGCAGTGGCTCAAGTAGTAGAGCACTAGCCTTGAGCTCAGACAAGAGTTCAAGCCCCATGACTGACAAAAAAAAAAAGATTCTTACAACCAAGGGTTTCCCAGTTTAGTGTGGGAAACAGGATATATATCCCTATTCTATTAACCTAGATATTACTATTGTGAAGTATGTCCTTGTACTTATATAGCATTTATTTAGCAAATATCTACTAGACACCGGCCAGTGATGGGATGCGATTGTAGACAAGATATGAGAAATGCCTTCTGTTTAAGGAACTTCTGTCATATAGGATGCATAGACACCTATGCAAATGCATAGGGGCTCATAATCAGCTTGAGTAACGTGTGTCCACGAGGAGCAGTTTTTTTGATAGCTTGGTGGTCATAGGGGTGCAGATGCAGAGTTGAAGAAAGGCTTCAGCCCAAGAAAGGGTTAAGCATCCTCAGCTCTGGCTGTTAGAGGCTTTTGCACCTTACAAAAAGGAAATGCTTGGTTGTAAATAGCAAAGAGTTTGCTGAGTCAGCAGAATAACAAACAGGCGTCAATAAAGCCAATAGCGATGGCATTGATGGAGATCTTGCTAGAGAAATCCAGCCCACTGTTATAAGAATGATCACAGTTGAGGCTAAAGTAAACAGTGCCCAGAGAGCTGAGGTCAGTGACTTGGGAAGGTAATACAAATCGCTAAATCCTGGTGCTCATGATGAATGAACATCTATTCCAAGCTCGTGTTTTGTAGCTGCAGAAACTAATGCCCCATGAGGAGGAAAGTACTTGTGTCTCTGGGGTTAATATGAGTATAGACCAGAATCCAGAGACCATCTTAGAATCAAGAGGAAGAAACTAATGTATTCATCATTAACACATGTCTACTTGATCTGTGAGCTTTATTCTTCACTATTTATTCTTCCATCGACTCTGTGAAGTAGAGACATTCTTATCAGTCTGTTCTGTAGATGAGGAAACTGAGACCAAAGAAGTGAAGCAGCATGCCCAATGCTACAAAACTATGGAGACAGAATGTGAAGCTAGAACTCCATTCTGTCTGCCTGCCTGCCTGCCTGCCTCCAGAACTGTGGGTGTTACCTTCTGCCTGTTTCCTGTTCTCCATGTGGCCTTATGGTGGTCGCTGTGGTAGACGCTTCTCTTCTCATTTGCAAAATACATATTTGTTGTATTTAACGATTGTTGTAATTAACGATCCATTCTGACTCAAGGAAAGCTTGTTTAGTAAGCACACAGGAGGAAAGAGAAAATGTAGCAGCATTCTTTGGCGGAGATTTCTCACAGTCACGGGGATTTCCAAATAGTGGGAGTGGGGATGAACTGTACCCTTTTCCTGTGGAGTCACTGACAGGAGAGCTCAGAGTCTAGGTGCTGTGTTCTTTGTGTAAGAAAGGACTATCTTCCTTGCCCACCGCAGCCTGACTTCCTATCCCTTTTGCCAAGAGTAACCATTTTACCTCTTGCCATTTATGAATCATGAGGTCTGTGGCTTTTGGCAGATCATAAATCAGTCCTGAGAGTCTCTAGGACAAATCCTGGGACTTTTAATCTTTAATATTAGATGTGTTTTAAAGTGGTGAATATTTCATGAAGAAGCTGTTGGCATTTTAACATGTCATTAGTGTCTCTTACACCTCCCCCCTTAGTAAATTTCTCCTGTCCGAACTTAAGGCTTTCCACTCATTCCCCTCATTTCTCTCACCTTTGGAAACAGTCAGTATATTAGGTCATACATACAGCACACCCCCTGAGCAGATGATGATCATGGCCATGATGTCGGAGGCCAGGGTTATAGAAAGCAATCCTGCCTTCCAAGCAGCTCCTGATGATTTACGAAGTACCCAGGGAAGAGGAAAGATAGCTCTCTCACTCTTTCTCTTCCATCCCTTTTGTCTTTCAATCATCCTGTGAGTATATCAAATACCATCTCTGACTAGTTTCACTGCATACTCAGTCTTACCACCATATTAGTCTGACTAATATTTCTGAAGCTCAGGCTCTTTGTCAAATACTTGCTAGGTATTGTTGGTACAAAGGTAAGCAAAAGCGAAAGACCTAGAAAAAGATGGAGTATATTCAAAGTTGGCAGTGTTTCATAGGTGATGGAATTATAACCTGTATAGTTCATCAGTGAAAGAGAAGAAGGTGATTCAATGAATTGCAAATATTTTGAAATTGGGAATTATAGGCAATGATTGTGAATTCATGTTCCCTTGCATCTCACTCCCTGTTTGGTTTGGGATGGACTAGAACGAGAAAATCCTGACTCATGAAATAAGTAGTTATAAATAATGTGAGCCTGTTAACATCTTGACTCACAAGCTCTAGGAAACCAAAATGACAGGAGGCATTTTATTCTTTTGTCCTGCATTAAAAATAAGTTTACAGGGAACCCTGAATTAATGAGATGATGCTTTTCCATGTCCTGACTTCTGCCACTTGGTGTATGAGTATCTACCCTGCATCTTACTTACTGGTTTGGGTTTGGGTTATTTGTCTGTACTGGGAATTGAATTTACAGCTTCAAGCTTGTCAGGTAGGTGCCCTGTCCTTTGATGCATGCTCTTTAGTCCTTTTGCCTTTTCATTGTTTTGCAGACCGAGTCTTCTGCCAACTTTTCCAGGGCAGGCCCTGACCTTTGTTCTTGCTTAGTTTTGATATGTGATCTCATTAACTTGGTCTTGCCTAGCCTCTAGCCACAGTCCTTCTATCTCTCTTCAAGTAGATAGGATTATAGGCTTATACCATCATGCCCAGCTTTCTCTCGGTGTCTCTTAATTTTTAAAGAGATTTTTTTAAATGGAACTCTTTAAGGAAATTTAAAGATTAAAATCGAAATGTCCCTAAGTCTTTCACATTAAATTAAACATATCCATGTTGGGGTGGAAGGTGTGTGTGTGTGTGTGTGTGTGTGTGTGTGTGTGTGTGTGTGTGTGTGTGCGCGCGCGCGCGCGCCTATGTATGCATGTAATATGCAGAATATGGGAAAGAAGAGAATCAGAATGTAATAGCTTGAAAACTTAACAGAGCCAGGCAATTATTCATTCCATTCACATTGTAGAGTACTAACGCTGCTCTAGGCGGTAGAGGAAGCTCAGGCAGCTCCTAGCAGCATTTCCCAAGATGTGTTCCACAGACAGAACACTAATCCTGTGAATTGTTCCACCAGCAAGTCTCTCAAAGTAAGTGTGAGGAAAGTTGTGTGCACTTTCCTCACAGGGAATCCCAGCCTGCAGGCTCTAAGGAATGGCACTGTACTGTACTCTCCAATTGTTTGCTATTTTTTGTAAAGCCTCTGTGAACATTCTACAGATATGTCTTGATTTAAAAAAAATACTATCTACTTGAGTGTAAAAATAGAAACTCCCCCACCTTAAGAAGTACACAGAGAGTCAATGTGATTAACAGCTTGAAGGCAGCCACTGGAGAGCCTTCTAGGATTTTGAACATTGAAGATGTTCTAGAATAGAAGACTGTAGTGGGCCAGTAGAAATGAACTTGGCCACTGAGAGTGTATACTTGAGCAGTTTGGGATGCTAGCTGTTTGAAATACTAGGAAACACTGATACAACCATGTAAAAACGTATCGGGAAACTAAAAAACAAAGAAAGATGGATGAATGGGTGGTTAGGAGAACAGTGTTTGAGGAGCATGAGAAAGGGGAGGGAGAAAGAGAGAAGAGGAGAGATAAGGACAAAAGAAGAAAAGAAAATTACAAGTTTTAAATAAGACACCAAAGCCAAGTTAAAACCAAGAGACGATAGGCTAAAACAAAGTTCCCAAAGGAAGATATCAAAAGTTCCTTGGAGGAAGTGGAATTTGAGTTCATGGATGAGCAAGACATGATTATTCAAGTGAAGAAATTGTATGTTCTGATTGCATTTGTACAGTAAACTTTAAGGTAATGATTTGAAAATAGGCCCACCAGGTTACTTCTTTCCCTTAGCAAGCTGTGAACTCCTTCAAGGAATGGGTTGCACCTTTATTATCTATGTCTCCTGTACCTGAGCTGAGAACCAAAAGGTATATAGCCAGGACTCTGAAAGAACAAGGCGTGAGTGAACCAATAAATGCCTAGAGAGATAAACTCTGTATTAACCCACAGCAGTGGATGGACCCAATCACCCTGTCTCATGAGCTTTCTCTAAAACTAAGCAACTGGTCCTCTTTCCCAGGAAAGCAAAGGGAACAGGGCACAGCCTATTTGGGGAAGTGGTGGTGTTTCACAAGATCCCTTTCTCTTACTCACAGGAGAATGCAGCTGTCATGAAGGCTTCGCCCCAGACCCTGTTCACAGACACCTGTGTGTGCGCAATGACTGGGGCCAGAGTGAAGGGTAAGTAGGGCAGCACAGCGGGGCGGGCACAGTGGATGCCTCATCCCCACCTCCTACATGGCATTACCAGATGCCCAAAACCACCCCAAAGCTGGGAAAAAACACAATGCCTTCCCACTGAAGCACTTTTTCATGTGAAAGGTACATGATAGATGAATCTTCTAGAAACAAGGGCTGACATTTAAGTCCCCCACCCAAACTGCAAGTAAACAATGAATATTCCCCCTCACTGGACTGAGAAGGAATCAGGTTTTCCTATCTATCTATCTATCTATTTATCTACCTAAACATGGACAGGGCCAAGTGAACTTAATAAACACGCTGAGTCCTTCTGTTTGGAGTCCTGGGTTTAAATTCAGGGCCTTGGGGCTTTGCCTGAACTCAAGGCTAATGCTTTACCTCTTGAGCCACAGCACTCTTCTGGCTTTTTCTGAGTAGTTTATTGGAGATAAGTGTCACCAACTTGCCTGCCCAGGATGGTTTTGAACCACAATTCTCAGATCTCAGCCTCCTGATTAACTAGGATTAAAGGCATGAGCCACCAGCAGCTGGCTAAGATACACACTTACAATCTAAAATGGCATATCAGGTAATTACTTCTGTGGAATTGATTGTTAAGTTACTCTTGAGCAGCGGCCATATACGGCTCCTACTCGATACTGACTAATGTCATCTCTTCCCTTTTCTTTTCCTCCCATTGTCTCACAGACCTTGGCCTTATACTACCCTGGAAAGGGGCTATGATTTGGTGACAGGAGAGCAGGCCCCTGAAAAGATCCTCAGGTGAGTTAACAGTCTTATTGGGGTACAGTGCTGGGTATTGGGGAGACAACTGATAGGAAAGTGTCTCATGCGTCTTTAAAACATTGATCCTGTGATTACAGGCTGCATTGAATACAAGAGTGCTCTCATTGGTACTAATGAGCCATCATGGCCCAGGTTACCATGGTAATCCAATTCCCATTTGCTTGGGATATAGACTTACAGGCTCAGGGACAGTGGTTTAAAATATTCTGTAGCCATAAAGCCTCTTCCTACCACCTCCACGAAATCTTGGGTAAATCTTCAATATTTAAGCAGATAAAGATGGATGGTAAATTAAGTGGTAGACTGGGGAATTGAGGATTGGTCTGAAGTGACTTAGAGTCGATGATCTTCACCTCTGTCTCAGACTGTTCCTGCTGACTTGGCAGTCACTTATAGAACACCTGCTGGGTATCTGAACTATATGGAAGGCAGATCTGAAATAGTCCCTTATCTTTTACTAAACTAAAGAATAAATACCATAGTTCAAAGCCAGCCTGAGCAGGAAAGTCTGTTAACCAATAGAGAACCAAAAGTGGCACTGTGGCTCAAAGTGGTAGAGCACTAGCCTTGAGAGAAAGTACTCCGAGACAGTGCCCAGACCCTGAGTTCAAGCCCCATGACTGACAAAAATAAATAAATAAAAATGAATAAATAACTACTAGGCATACAAAACTAGGCATGTGTTCAATGATAAAGAGATTTAAGAAATAACTATCCAAGTCTGGGTAAATCTGTGTACCATGGGATTTTATGTCTTTGGGGATGTAGGAGACTCAGGTGGGTGGAGACGTTAAGTGTCCTAGAAGGGATGAGAAGAGGGGCCCCCTTTTTTCTGTTTGCTCTCTGCTTCCCAGGGAGTTCCCCAATGGAAACTCTTACATTGCAGGTCTACTTTCAGCTTGGGCCAAGGCCTCTGGCTTCCTGTGAGCAAAAGCTTTGTGGTTCCACCGGTGGAGCTGTCCATCAACCCCCTGGCTAGCTGCAAGACGGACGTGCTCGTCACAGAAGACCCCGCTGATGTCAGGTAGGGAAGTCATCTTCAAGTCCCTGGAGCTCTGGACGTCCCTCTGTTTTTTCGGGATCTCAGAGTCCTACGAGAGAGTAAATCTCTGTGCTGTGGGCAGAGAAAGCTGCCTGGTGGATGTAGGGAACATTGTCAAAGCCGCCATGCTCCTAAACTTCTAGACTACCTATGGTACTCAGTCCCTTGGTTCCTTACATGTCAGTCTCATTGATCCATTTTGAGGGTTATCAAATATAAGATACTAGTGTATTATCTCACTCATTGTAGTCATGCTTTAAAAAAAAAATCATTACTGAACAGAATGCTGGAGCATCGTGAAGGCAGAGTTTCAAGGACATAATATCTTCCATTGTGACTGTGACACTGAAACTATGCTTTGAGCTAATCCATGACATCTGAGTGCCCAGGCGAAAACTATTTGTTTTTTTTTCTTTACACAGAAGTGGAGACTGCGTCTCTCCTTACATGTCCTGGTACCTTGCAAACTAACTTTGTTATAGAGTCACTCTGCTGCTTTCTAATTAATTACTTACATATCATTGTGTCCCATTATGTGGTACACTTCTCAAGGTCATGGAAAATATCTTCTTTAGCTGTTTAATCTCCAGCTCCTAGTATATATTGGACATCTACTAAATGTTTATTGATCTAATTAAATCAGAGGGCTTAGATTTGATCTTACTACCATTATGGAGCCTTCTTAGTAGAGGGTGTTTTTCCCCTCCCAGTTTGATTAATGGAAGCTTTCTAGAAACTTTGATGTTACCCAAATGGTTTCTAGTTTGACTTCTAACACTGGCCTGCACACATCTTATTGGTTTCTGAACTAAAATTAAAGCATGCTTCCCCTGACTTAGCCGTCAATGCTATTCTAGTACCTCACAGCTGTGTTTGAGTCATTCTGAGTCAACTTGCAATTATTATTCTCATTTGTGTCTTGCTAGAAAGCCCCAACAACCATCTCTCCTGCTTTGCGATTATTTATTCTCACCTTGTCACCTTTCTCTTGGAGCCTAACATGCTTTGTCAGGCTATTAATATTTCCCAAAAGCTTTGCTTAAAGAAGAATACATTAACAAAGGAAAAACATTTAGTAAATGAAACTAATTATAAAGAACTAAGGAACAAGTTGATTCATGGGAGATTATGATTATTTTCTCTCTTTTAAATAGAATTGAAGTAGATGATACTTGAGTAACACCTGTGTGAAAATTTATATATATACATGTATGTATATATAAAACTTACCTTAAATATCTGGTTGATGGACCATGGTCCAAAAACCATAATGACCTTGTCTGAAATTAGCAGCAAGGTAGCCTCTGCTAGTTCTGTGCTGGTGACATTGCATTTGTGATTTCAGCGAAGATAGAGCTGTTAGAACAGTTAATGATCACTCATTCTGGTTTGCAAAGGGCTGGGTAAGAATGCTGTCTCTCAGCCTGTGTGAGCAATATGATCTCAGCCGAGTTCAGCTTCTAAGTTTTCACTTCTTCCTAAAATGAGGATAAAGTGCTTTCTTCACAGAGTGTAATGGTAATACCTCATTTACATGGATCATATCCTATGTGCCTGATTCTTTACAATATTTTCCCATCCATATATCTATAGCTAATAAGACCAATGTTATAATCCTTGCATCAGCCCCATGAGGTGATGCTAAAATTTTTATTGTGCAGATTAAACGTGAATACATAAATAAATAAACTGGAAGCCTAAAGTGATGTTCTACTAGCAAATGATAAGCTAGGCATCACGTCCTGATCTGAAAGCAAGGATAAAAGATTGCTGTCATCTCCATTGGAAAGAGCGTGTAGTGAGGTGATGGAGTTTCCCAAGCTGCACTAATAAACCTTGTTTGACATGACATTACCCAGGCAAGCGTATCATGAGCGTTTAGAGAATTAATAAGTCCCAGTCAGGTGATACGTTAAAATTTAATAAATAATAGATCATAATTATAGATAGCCAATAACAACTGCCATGGAATCATAAGAGAGAGGATTAGAGGAATGTCTGTGTGGAAAAGCAGAGCTGAAAGGAAACAGCGCTGAGCATTATAGAAGGATTGGAGAGAAAACCTCGGAGGTGAAGTGCAAGGTGATTCTTTGATATCCAAGTCTGTGATAAATCCTGGGGAGAGCATGGGAACTCACTCTAGCAGAGTCAATCTAGCTTGGTGTTGAAATGTATAATCTGTGACCCATCATGGTGCCTAAATGTAAAACAACTAGTAAAGTTGCACATAGAGCCATGGGATCTTTAATCCCACATCATGGGGATATAAATTAGTGAGACCTCTATGCAAAGCTGTTGGGCAGTATCTAATGAATGTAGTCAGACCATAAGGAATGTCTAAAAGAAACAGAAATCATAAATAAATGGAAATAATACTTACAAAGATATTTATAGTAGCTCTCATTTTTGCTACCCAAGAGTTGGAGAGAACCTCGCAGTCGTTCATCGACAAAAAGAAAAGCAGACAAATGAAGAGGAAAGTCATCCTAGCATGGAATATTATGAATAAGGAAAATGAAGGAAACTCAACCATCAGATTGGGCCCTGTGGATGAGCCCCAAAAGTATAATGTCGAATTATGGAATCCAGGCACAAAAGAATAAATAGGTTCATACACATTTGTCAGAAGCTTTGTTTTACTACTTAGTTAAAAAGCTTTGATGTTAGAAGAAAGGATGGTTTTCCTTCTGGTTGGTGGAAGAGGGATTGTATGATGGTGGTGATCGTATTTCATTTGTGGTTCCCAAGAGCTTTCTGAAAAAATATATCAAGTTGCACATTTTTCTTTAGTGTGTTATGCATGGGTTGAACCCAAAGTTCAGTGTTGAAAGTTACAGACTTGGAGCTGAATCACTTGAGTTCACATCCTCACCCTACTACTTGCTTACTAGGTAGGCTTTTCTGTAGTAGTATTTCCCCTTGGCAATAATAAAGATAGAAGAATTTTTATATCCTATGAGGGAGAGGTGAAAATTACATGACCTAATATATGTTGAGCAATGAATATGACAAGCATTTGCTCTCTAGAGATAATACTTTGTATGCTTGCGGTGTTAGCAAAGTGAATTTTTCCATTCATTCTTTTTTCTTCATTGAAAGGCTGCATCCAACAAATGATGCAGTTTAAAATTAACAGTGTCTTAGTATTAAGAGCTTGCACCATTGTCCAGGTCACAAGATTCAGAGAAGAAGTAAATGAGTAAATATATTCTACCACAGTATGCCAGGTTTGGGGCTTTATGTATACAAGAGCATTTATGGGATAAACGAAGAATCATATGTGGTGTAGACAAGAGTCATATGTGGCATAGACCTTTTAGGAGTTGGAAAAGAAAGAACAAATTTTTAGGCAACTATTCCTAGGAGAGAAAGCATTGGTGTGTAAGCGTGAATTGAGGATACAATTTGGCTGTGCGGAATTGAAGGTAGGAGGGAAATCTTTCCCATCTGAAGGACTGAAGGAAAACAAGAAGAGCACTCTCCTCCTCCTGGACAGCTCCCATTCTCCAGCCTGTTCCTACAGGAAGCTGCTGGAAAAGAGATTTCAAGTATTGGAGGCACTAATGAAGCTACAAGCTACAAAGGTGGAAGAGCTAAATTTCATCTGAATTCTTTTCAAATCTGAAAAGAAAATAAAGCATATCTGCACCCCTCTTGTGTGCCAGGGACTTTGCTAGGTGCCTCAGGAATAGAGAGGTGGATAAAGGCCACCTCTGCTTAGCAAAGGAGCGTGGAACAAGAGACTAGCTCGCGAGATGGAATAAAAGTTACTTGTGGAGCGAAAACCATGGCAAACAACACTTATTGCTACACGCCAGGCCTTCCTCACAATTATACCTGGAGCTGGTTCTTCTTATAAGGGGAATGTGAGAAGAGCTATTATATTTAGAATAATAATCATCCACAAAGCCTAGCTTTTGGAGCTCCTTGGTGATTTTTCTATGATCTCAAATCAATGAAAATGAAATAGTGAGATGCTGTTAATTCCTTAACAATGTTGGACGAATAATGGGGTACCCGAATGCAAGCCAGCATCGCTCACTTGGCGATAGTTTTTACACTGAATTAGTTCTAAATAGAATTAAGAATGGCTCCTTGTTCTTTTGCCCTTGCAAGTCCAAGCACTGAGAACTTATTGAACATTTACTATTTTGCAGGCTAAGTTTTGGCATGATTAAAAAATAATAATAAGACAAGGAGCTCGGTGTATTAGCAGAGACAAAAATCAGACACACGGAAAAAGGTGTGCTTTGTGATCATTGAAAAACATAGAGGGAAATTTCAAGGCAGAGAAGGCAGCAAAGTAGAGATGGTCAAACTCATCTAGAGTTTAAAAGGAAGTTCTTACAGAGAAGAAAAGCTTTGAGCCAAAGTTCAAACTACATAGGAAATTACTAGGTTATTGGAACTTAACTGTGGTTCCAGACCCAGCAACACTGGAATTATTACAAACCTGTTAAAAATGCAGATTCTCAGACTGCATCAATGGTAGACTGATAATAATCCCTGAAAGTATCAAATCATAATTCCTGGCTCTTGGGAATGTTACTTTATTTGGGAAAAAGTTCTTTGCATGTTATTGCAAATCTTAAAAGAGATTGATTGTTCTGGGTTATCTGGATGTAATATGTACCCCTCTAATGAGAACAAAGATTTGATAAACATAGAAAAAAAATAATGCAAGAAAGTAAGATATGCTTTCACCACAAACCAAGGAAATCCAGAAGCCAGCAGAAGCAGAAATAAGAAAATGGCAGATTATACCCTAGAATATGACCTTCATTTGAGCTAATTCATACTGACTTGGGGATCTCTGGTTCCTTAGGGCCATTTTAATTAGTGTGTTTTGTTACGGTAACAACAGGAAACTAATACAACTAACTGAAACAGATGCTATGGAGTCTAGCCCAGAAATCTGTTGGAGCAAGTAGTTGGGTGATTCTGATGCCCAAAAAAGTTTGAGTGTATGTATACTAGATAAC